CTTTCTTTCTTTCTTTCTTTCTTTCTTTCTTTCTTTCTTTCTTTCTTTCTTTCTTTCTTTCTTTCTTTCTTTCTTTCTTTTTCTTTCTTTCTTTCATGTGTGAGTGTGTGTGTGGTCCTGGGGATTGAACCCAGGGCCTTGTGCAAGTGAGGCCAGCAGGCTACCACCTGAGCCAGGTCCCCAGCCCCTCTGGCTTTCTTAGCCCTCAGCGCCCATCCCCTAGCAGCCTGAGATGCCTGAGTGTGTGGCCTACGAACTGATGCTGTGTGTGGGAAAGGCTGTAGAGGGCAGGGAACCAAGGCAGGAGGGGTGGCAGCCCTCGTGGGGTCCCAGGAACATTGGACCAGTCTGACAGGCTGCCCTGCCCTACCTGTCAGGCCAGGTCCTTCCTAACCATTAGGAGATGGGCACCAAGTTTGGTACCAGGGGTTGAATCCAGGGGCACTTGACCACTGGGCCACATCCCCAGCCCATTTTATTTTTTTAATATTATTTTTTAGTTGTAGTTGGACACAATGCCTTTATTTTATTCATTTTTATGTGGTGCTGAGGATCGAACCCAGCGCCTTGCACGTGCTAGGTGAGTGCTCTACCTCTGAGCCACAACCCAGCACCCCCCCTCAGCCATTTTTTTTTATGTTTTATTTTGAGACAGGTTCTCACTAAGTTGCTCAAGACCTTATTAAGTTGCTGAGGCTGGCTTTGAATTTTCAATCCTCCTGCCTCAGCCTCCCAAGCAGCTGGGATCGTAGGCGTGCCCCACTGTGCCTGGCAATAGCACCACTTCCTTCCTTCCTTCCTTGCTTCCTTCCTCGCTTCCTTCCTTCTTAATTAACTAATTAATTTCACAGTAGAATGCATTTTGACATACAGTATACAAATAGAGCACAACTTCTCATTCCTCTGGCTGTACATGAGGCAGAGTCACTCCGGTTGTGTAATCAGACATGTATACAGGGTAATAATGTCTGTCTCTTTCTACCATCCTTCCCATCCCCACAGCCCCACCCCATCCCTCATTCCCCTCTACACAAACCAAAGTTCCTTCATTCTTCCCTACCCCGCCCCACCACCCCACTATGGACTAGCATCTGCTTATTAGAGAAATCATTCCGCTTTTGGTTTGGGGGGATTGGCTTATTTCACTTAGCATGAAATTCTCTAGTTCCATCCATTCAGATAAGGTTTAAGATGCACCCAGGTCTACTGGGTGCGGTGGCCAGTGTCTAGAGTCCCAGCTGCTCCAGAGGCTAGGTGGAGGATCACTGGAGCCCAGGAGGTCAAGGCCAGCTGGGCAACACAGCAAGACTGGGTCTCTGGAGAACACAAAGGAGGCAGCACGTGGGCCCAGCCACCTCTTCTGCCTCAGGAGCAGCAGGCAGAGGGCACACAGCCTGCACTGTGCATCCCTGCATGCCCGGCCTGTCTCCACCCTCCACCCTCCTGGCCCTCCTGGCCACAGCACAGCCATAGCCCATGCCAGCCTCCCCGGTGAGACCATTGGCAGGACTGAGAGTCGCCAGTGTGGGAAGAGGGCCAGGCGTGCCCTGATGCAGCCCTGGGCCCGAGCACTTACGGTCATTCTGCAGGAGCTTGTCCAGCGAGTCACGCCACTGCAGAGCCTCGTCCCGCGAGGGCCTGAAGAAGAGGGAGGACGGTGAAAGCAGGCCGGGGCAGACAGGCCGGGGCAGGGCCACTGCCCTGCTGAGCATGATGCCGCTGACACCATTCTGGTACGAGGACGGTCTGTGGTGTCCCAGCAAATGGGTCCCGGCAGTCAGCGGCTGTGCTGTGGTGTCGCCTGGCAGATCTGTCTCCACAAAGCCAAGCTTCATGACCCGTGGGTCCCATGCCAGCGGCTTTGTGGTCTCCATCCCAGGCACACCCCAGGGCAGGCCACCCCTCCCAGGGCTGAACTCCTCTCAGCCTTGCCCATTTGCTCTGCGGGGCCCTCAGCAAGGATGGTGGAAGATGGGCTGATTGTGCCTCATGCCAGGAAGTGGTCATAGCAAGTCTGCATTTTAAACATCCATGCCAGTTTTCCCTGCCCATTAGGACAGGGGAATATTTTTGAGAAAAGCGGTTGGTACACCTCGAATGGAACGTTGCCACAGATGCCAGCGGTGCTGACTAAGGAGAATTGGTGGCCACTTGCCATGACCTCTCTGGTGCTTCATCACAGTGCCCATCCCCTCCTTCCAGTTCTTCCCTCCCATCAGTGTGCCAGGGACCTGCTGGCCTCATCTGGGAGGTGTCCGGCTCTCCCTGCTACAGAGAGAGAGACGGGGCACGGTGGGCCAGGGAGGTGTTTTAGCTCCGGCACCACAGCCAACTCTGCACACAGCCCATGGGTTCCTGTTTCTAGTTTGAGAAATAGCAGGTGCTTTTTAGTGTTTCGATCTAGTAGCTGAGATTGACACAGCTGTGGGTCCTTGTCCTGCAGGCTGAGAAGCAGCCTCACTGTCTGCAAGGGCAGTGGCACCTGCAGTGCTGAGCTAACCCCCTGACTCCATGCCCCGTGACAGAGCCTGCACAGACTGAGGAAGACATAGCTGTCGTTGGCTGAACAGGTGAGCCGCCTTCTCTGCCTTCATCCAGGGGGAGAGGGAGATGGGGAATAGCACAGACCTGAGTCCCTCGACTTTCTGGTCAGTGACCACTTGGGCTCTTCTACACTGCCTCATCCTGAGACTCTCCCTATGAATGTGTTCTTCTGCTCCTACATTGCTGTCACAAGGCCTTGTATACCCTAATTTCTTCACTAGAGTGGTCTCAATATTTTGTACTTAATTGACACATTTCACATCAAATTGTACATAGAAGCAGCAGAATATTAAGTTACTGGATAAAAGAAACTGGCTCAGAAAAGGGGAAGGCCTGATGCACTCACTGAATCTTCTGATCCTGGAGTAAGTAAATCTTCTGATCCTGGTGTAAGTAAAATGAAATCACTTCCCTGTGCCCTTCCCTCTGGGGTGAGGAGTGGGAGAGCCATGTCTGAGCAGGTGCACCAAGCTTAAACACCTTGCCAAATCCTATCTGTCCCAGGTGGTCTTGTTGGAGCCAGCTAGCGGTCGATGCCAGCAGCACACCACAGCCCAGATCAGTCCTGGAAAGGATACATGCAGGGCCCACTCAGGGCCAAGTTGGCCCATAGTAAGGTCAGGGTAGTCAGGTGGACGAAAGCCCCACAGCTCCTTCGGCTGGCACCCTGCGAGGCCATCGAGGTTCATCCTGTCCTGATTCTCAGAATGCATAAGCCCTCATTAGGTCCAACTTCTTGGAAACAAGACAGATGCAGGATGGCCAGTCGGCATCCTGGGCTGCAGGTCAGAGCTGACCACACCGGGTGGGCGCCCTCTGTGTGTGAGTGTGGAAGGAGGGATGGGAAGCTCGGTGAAAGGAGGGCAAATGAGCTTCGGTGGAGGTCTGACAAGGCCCAAGCTTTTGTGGTTCAGGGGCCATCTCCACTGGAAGCCCCTCCTGTCCACTCTCTCACCCACCCTGCCTGATCTCTCTCACTGCCTGGGGGATCGCAGTCTTCAGGAAACCTTCCCCTTCTCCCTGCCCTGTGGCCTGGCCCCTGCAGCACCAGCCTCTAATGCATGAGTTTCTTGTGAGGGTAAAAGATGTCTGCAATTTGGGGTCCACACATGGACGTGGAAAAAGGCCAGGGTTTCCCCACTGGTACCCTGTCCATGGTGCCCAGGGCAACATCGGCCATGGGATAAGGACTCAGCAAATCCTCATGGATCTGCGGCTGATTGTGAGCTGCAGGCACTACAGGGCAGCCTGCAACAGACATGTCCAGGTGCTGAGTACGTGAGTGCTGGCCCACTTACCCAGAGGCAGGATGGGTTGCTAATAGCCACAACTGAATGAACTGAGATTTTTCAGAGGCTTCTAAGAAGCTATGGCCACGCCTGCTGGTGGCTGTGCCCTGCATGGGCTGTGACCTCAGGAAGGGGGAGGGTGTCGTGACCTCTCTCAGCTCCACTGCTGGTGTGGGTTGCTGTGTTGTCTGTCTGGGCTTGGGCTGGGCTTGCAGTCTGCAGGGTGCCTAGCTTGACTTAATATTCCTGATAAGTGTCTTTGTAGGTCCCTGCTCTGGTGGGAAGGTGATCCCCAGGGGTGTAGTGACACTCACCAAGGCCTGCTCTGCTCGCCCTGCCCCCCCCCACAGGTCTAGCTGCTCAGGACCAGCCCAAGTCTGTGAACCCTGTCCCGCCTTCAGCCCGTGGCCAGCAGTGACCAGGCTTCTAAATAGCAGCACTTTCTGAGGTCGCATGTCTTTGAGCCTCAGCAGGACCCACTTTGCAGGCAGCGGGTGAATCCACCCTGGCCACAGCTGTGATGGGCGATGGTACTCAGAGCCCAGTAAGGGGCGTTTGTGTGCAGTCAGCCCAAAGCCCCTGAGCGGCAAACAGCAACAGCAATAGCAGGACCCCCGGGCCCCGCCAGAGATGGGAGCCTGGAGTGAAAACCTCAGAGGAGCGCCAGGTCTCCCCTGCCATACCATGGTCGATCACAGCCCCACCTGCAGTGTCCACAGGCTAAACCCACGTGGCCTGCTGACTCTGCTCATGGCTTGCTGTGAGGGCTGCAGCCAGCCTGGGGCTGCTCAGTTGCAGAGGGTGGGCGAACATGGGGCCACTTGAAGAAGAGGCTGGTGGGGAGGACAGAGGCCCAGACGCTAGGAAGAACGCTGTAGGAGGAGGCAGCCGGTGGGCAGACACCCTGATAAACAAGTTGGAAGTCTAAGAAGAGGCAGCTGGTGGGCAGACACCCTGGTGCACAAGTCAGAGCTCTAAGGAAAGGTATCTGGTGGTCAAGTGAGAACTCTGAAGAGGACAGAGCTCATGGGCAGATACCAGGTGGACTAGGCACCCAGGCTTCCCTGGGCCATAAGCCTCAAGCCTGATAAGAAGGAGGCAAGGAAATGCTGGGTGGTGGGGCAGGTATAGACTTCGATCTCTGCAGTCAGCCATGAGAGTGAGTGGTGAAGAGCCAGGAAGGGCGGCTGGGACCTGTGCAGCCTGGAATAGGCACAGCCCCGCTCTGTGGAGGGTTCCAGGGACAGAGATCCAGGAACCTTACCAGGCGAAGCTGGTTCTGGGGGAGGACAGGGCAGCTTTTTCTATTTTTCTCAATGGCCTAATTTTTATGCAAATATGAATGTTTTTTAAAACAATAAATAAAAGAAAGTGTCTCCCAGGAGAGGAATCCCTGCTGATGCCAAGGAGAGGGTCAGAAGCACTTTGTGAAGAGAAGGTACTTATCCTCTGATAGAACGTGGGTAGAGAGTACCCAGGGGAGGAAAGAGATCAGGGTGCACGCACCAAGCTGCCTGCCAGGCAAGGGGCACAGACCCGGCGCCCCAGGATGGGTGGGCAGGGTGGCAAGTTTGGGAGCAGCAGACATCAGCAGGCACTCCCAGGAATGAAAGGATTTTCTCAACCCTGAGAACTTTTGGGAGGGGTGGGGATGGAGGTCAAGGGGCAAGAGACCCTGCAGATGGGGTCCAGCCTTCCTCCGGGGCTTTAGCAGGAATCCCTGGGCCACACTGCAAGCATGTCTGTGGGGCTTCCGAGCAGCCCGTCAAGACCGGCACAGTGCCATTTCTTAATGCCGATCCCAGCAGGTCAGTACCCGACCCACTGGCCTGAGACTGCTGCTTCCTGCTGATGAGCCCTTTCAGCTGTGAGAGTCCACTGGAGGCAAATGGAGATGTCCACTTATGGTGAATGGCAATTTTAAAAAGAAAAATCCATGTCGGTGAGTCTCAACTAGTCCAGCTAGTTGGAGTTGGGAGATGCCTAGACAGGCTGGTGGAGCACCCAAGGGTTAGTTTAGGAAGGAGAAAGAAGCTGGCAGGCACACTCTGGTCTCCAGGATCTTCAGCAGTAGAATTCACCTGGTTTCTTCCTCTGTGCAGAGAGAGGAGGGCTGCCCACCCTGTGTGTAGTCTAGGAGCGCGTGGGGACTCTGTGCCTCCCACGCTGATGGAAAGAGGGCCAGCGTCCGGCCGGAGCCGACATCTGACTCCCTAGCACTGCAGCTTCCTGTGGTGCCTAAGTTCACCTGAGCACAGGAAACCCAGGAATGCCGGTTTAGGACTGGAGAGAGCTCTTGCTCTGCAGGACTTAACAATGGCCATCCAGCATCCGCTCTTCTCTGGACCTGGGAGGTCTCCACATTGGAGAAGAAGCTGAGACTTGAATCATCTGCCCGACTCTCAGAGGAAGACGCTCCTCACACCCTGAGAACGCTGGCCCTGCCCCCAGCTGCCAGCTGCAGCCTCCTGGCCCATGGTCAGGGAGTGCTCCTGGCCCCGCCAGCACCAGATCTGAGTGCTGGCTGACCAAGCAGGTGGCTGCTCCCTCTTACAGAGTATGGTATGTCTTTCCCAAGGTAAGGGCTCTTTCTCCCTCTCCTTCACTGAGTGTGTGTGTGTGTGTGTGTGTGTGTTACTCTGTCAGCATCTGACATTGTGCTCCATAAGTGGAATCATAGGGAAAGTTTATCTACAAGCCAACTCTCGGAGGACTCTGATCTGCAGAGAGTGATGAGGGTCTGTGGAGCAGGGGTGCCCGGGCTCACTCACTTCTGGGGCTTGGCTGGCTTCTGCACCTTCTCATTGTATGGAATGATGAGGTCAACAGCAGAGTCGGGCTTCTGCAGGAGTGTGCCCAACTTGATCTTGATCTCCTTGGCCCTGGAAGAGAGAAGGGAACAGGAGTGTCACACCAGCACACAGATCTCAAAAACAGACCTCCTCTCCTCCAGGAAACAAAGGACAAACCATGTCCCTGCCTCTGTGCTTTCGCAGCAGGAAGAGCACCAGTGCAGAGACTGCTCGCCAGCACTGCAGGCTGGCCCTGGTGAATCCGCACTGTCTATTCATGCATTCTCTTCTTTACTACACAGAAGCTATAGTCGTGCCATTTTCATCCTGAGGATGAGAAAGCTGAATAACAGGGAGCTTAAATACCTACGACAACCAGCCAGGGTGAGCCTGAGTGTCTCTGGAGTTGACAGGGTAATGGCTCTGCATAGTCCACCCATCCTAGGACTCTGTGCCCAACTACCAGTTGGGTACATGACATTTTATAAATTATTGTTTACTGCCTGACCCCAGCTCCCCTTTCTGCAAGACGACTGAGTGTGCCTAGCCACAGCGTCCTGTATTCTGCTGGGTGACATTCCTCTCCACAGGGCTTCCTCCTCAGCCCCAGCGCCTGGCCCCAGCCAGCTGGCAGAGCCTCTCACATGCAGCCGCCTTCACGGAGGCACACTGGTGGCCTCGGGCCTGCCAGAGCTGTCTGCTGCCCTGTGTGGCCAGCATTTCAGGGCGTGAATGTAGTCCCGGTTCTGGACTCCCCTCCTCCAAGATGCAGCCTTCTCACTCTCAGTCCTAAGGGTAATCTTGAGGTCATGCTTCCCTTTATCGGGACTGAGATAAAGAGCCCTGAGCAATCTCTGATTCCAACCAAGGAGCGAGCCCTGCAGACACCCAGATGGTCCTCGCCTGGGTGCTGTGGCACGTCACCCAGCTCATAAGGGTGATGTCAAACTGTATGACTTTCATGATTATGTGTCTGTTTCCAATTTGACAAGAGAACTCCTGGAAAGTAGGAATCTTAAAGGCTTCCATCCCCTGTGCCTGGCAAAAGGCTGGCATGAAAAACATTCAAGAATACTTGCTGAAAATATCTAGGTCTTTTTCCTCATAGAGCTGTTAACATTTTTCTTTGAGTGGAAGCTAACCATAACCAGGTGAGACAGAGAAGCCGTGGGGTCAACCTGTAGTTAAGTTAGGTTCTGCTTCTTTTCCACAAACCACAGGGAGACCAGATGAAAGACTTCAAGTTACAGAATGCCAGGAGGAGTGATTACGGATGTCAGAGAAGTGAAGAGCACTCCATTAAATATCTAGTTTTCACACCCCACTTTTCCTTAGCCCAGGGGGTACAATAACTACTGCCAAGAGAGTCCATTCTGCATTGTCCATCCCTTCTGCTCTTTCCCCAAGACCTTCTCACCACTAACCCAGTGGGTTGGCTCTGCCCTGCCCAGCACGGCAGGCTGTAGAACAAGATGCTCTGTGCAGGACCAGGCCAACCCAGATGTGAGGGTCCTCTAGGCTCAAGAGGGTGTGGGGAGGTAGGAGCACTGTGCAGGACCAGGCCAAGCCCAGATGTGAGGGTCCTCTAGGCTCAGGAGGGTGTGGTGAGGTAGGAGCTCTGTGCAGGAGGAGGCCAACCCCA